TGCCTTTCAGCATCTCTCATTCCAGTACAGCAGCTCCCTCAGGACCACTCAGCCTGTCCCCTGGCTGAGACCCACTGCAAGGGCCTGAAGGCTAGGATGCAGAGAGGACCGTCTAGGGGAGCCTCAGGCTGCCCAGGGCAGGCCTGTGTTCTACTGCCTCCTGCCTTTCCCTGGGAAGAGTGACTTGGGCTTTGAAGCAAGTGGAAAGATGGGAGTGGGCTTCAGAAGGAAGAGGTGTGGGCTTGGGGTCCAGGTCATTATCTACCTCAGGGAGCTCAGGGAGTGGGGTGGAGGGTCCATCCTATATCCCACCCTCCATGCTGCACCCTGATCTTGAATGCTGCTGTAGGTTTGTGGATGACTGAGGCAAGACCTCTGCCCTCTGGGGGCTCACAGTCCGATGGAGGAGGTGGGCCCTTGACTCAGCCCTGTGAAAACCAAGGCCCAGACTCAGATAAAGCTTCCAGGGATGCTGAGACCTGGTCTCGAGAAAGCCCCAAGAATTAGGTACAATGAGCCCAGCATTGCTACCTGAGTAGGTCAGCAGCTGGGAGGCTGGAGAGAGCACTTGGGGTGGGGTTCAGGCCGAATGCCACTCTGGAGAGGTGGACTTGAACTCTGGAGCAGGCTCCCTGAACTCTGGAGGTCCCAGGGATCATGGCAGGCCACCCTGAGCTCACACTGCATCATCAACACACAACTGTGTTCCTGCAGGATGATATGAGGGTAATTCAAAAAAGGGATCCTGATGCTTAATGGAATGGATCTGGGTGTGGGCAAGGGGGAGCCATGGCAGGTTTTGGGACGGGCAGTGTCCAGAAGGGAGGCGGACTCCGAAAGGGGAATCAAACCGAGGGCCCCAAAACCACAGGCCCTTCTTGCCGCGGGCCTGGGCCCGCCCTCGCCCACAGGAAGTAGGAGGCACAGTGGTGATGAGGAAGCTGTGCAGGTGCTGGCTGGGAGCAGGGCGTGAGGTGCCCCAGGAGGTGACACCGCCCGGGAAGCCACAGCGAGCGCACCGGGGAGCCTGGCCTGCCCGAGGGCTTCCAGGAGATGGGCGGGCGGGGAGGGTGCTGCAGGGCAGGCCGCCCGTGCCCACCCTGAGCCTGTGAGCTGGGCTGAGGCCGAAGGATGGCAGGGCGGAGAGGGGAGCTGTCTGGGCTGACTCACCAAGGGAGGAACAGAACATCTTTGGACAATTCACACACTCAATGTCACATCTAGTTGGTTTGACAAAACATGGGAAAGAAGAACTGAAATTTGTTAACTGTACCGAGATCCATGCAGTTCACTTCAGGGGACAGTTTTGGTACCAAATTATCCTTGTTATGCAAATCTCGCCCCCAGCGGCTGGTTCCCAGTTGTGCATGGGGATGGTGGTGACTGCATCTGCTTCCCCTTGTGCCGATTCACTCTGGCAGCCACGGCCATCTGCTCGCCCTGGGCCAGCGCCCTGCTGCCCAGCAGCAGGGAGGCACCACAGCTTCCAGACAGGGGCAGCCTCAGGAGACAGAGCTTGGGACTTCGGCCTCGCTCCTGTGCTTGGCCTTGACAAAAGCAGAAAGAGTAAGCGGGCTTCCCAGTGAGGGTTCCACCTTCCTCCCTAGGGAAACACTGCCTAGGACTTGGCGTTTTTGAGGCATCAGGTCCAGGCCCATGAGGCACCAAGTTCCTCATTTCTTCTCTGCCAGTGTCTCTCTCGAGGCCCCACCTTGCCTGCCCACAGATGTTGCTGCAAGTGTCCTGGATACTCAGCCAGTGGCTTCTTCTCAGTCCCGTCCTCATTTCATCTGCTTCTTTGGGACCTGCTTATGGCTTCTCTTTTTGCATTGAGGAGTCGTGAGATGCTGTACTCAACAGGCTTTCCCTCTGCTCGAAAAATCGTTTCCTCTCCTTGGCTGTCCCAAAGCTGTCTCCTCCATCCTGCCTCTCTCCCTGAACACCCTCCTATGCCCGCCACAGGTTCCTAACAGTCGAGTGCTGTGACTCTGAGCCCTGCAGCCTCTCTCTAAAGCTGACCCATTCTCATCAGATAATTGCTTATACAAAACCACACTCCCCTCTTCAAACCTTCTGCCCATCTCCCCTTTTCCTACTAACAGTGCATACAGGATCTGAGATGTGGGGCCAATTCCTCCTTAGCCTTCAATGAGCAATAGATTTAATCATCTTACATGTATGGTTATGTAACAAATATCTGTTGAGCACCATCTCAGTTTGTAGGGTTGCTACAACAAAATACTAGAAGTGGGTGGCTTATGAACTACAGAAATTTATTTAGCCCAGTTCTGGAGGCTGCAAGTCTGAAACCACAGTCAGCAACAGTCTGAAAACAGCAAGTATTTTGGTTTTCCACTCTCTGATTCTCTTGCTTATATTTGAGTTGTTTCAAACTCAAGAGGCGAAGAGAAAGACAGGAATTATTTCCCCTCTTCAAAAAATAGAACCTGGTTGGGTGTGGAGAACAGGATCAAGGCTGTAACTGCCTTGAGGAGCGACAGGATGGGGAGTTGGCTTAGCCTACTTGGGGAAGCTGGTCCCATATCTGGCGAGTGGACTCCATGCAGAACTCCAGCTCCAGAGAGTGGGTCTCTAGGAACTGCATTTGTAATAGCCACCCAGCTGATTCTGAGCTGCATTTGAGGAATCTGCGTGGGGGACTGTTGGATAACCTGGTGCCTGGGGAAAGATGGAGAGGGTGAGGAAGTCTCGGGTAGCCACAGCTGGGAACGGGGGATTTGGGTTAATGGTGGGAGAAGCTGATGGGAGGGCAGGGCCTGGGTTGTGAGGAAGAACAGTTTTCTAAGAGTCAGGGACCCATGTCCTCTCTTAGAGCAGCGTGGGATGGGTTACCTGGTGAGAGGCGGGCAAACTCCGCAGCAGGAGGCAGCACCATGGCTCTGCCCTCATGGAGCCCCTGGGCTCTAGTGCTGGGCAAGGCCAAAGGTGTTCAGAGAGATGCCCTGGCCTTAAAGGGGCACAGAGCTCCTGTGCGGGTGGTCTGAGAACTTCCCCCACGTCTTGTACTGATTGCTCAGCTCCTTGAGTTTCCTTTACATACCATGCTGTGTGTCTGGAGATGAAAGGCCTCACAAAAGACCATAACTTTGGAAACAGCCAATGGGATTCTGTTCCTTGAGAGTCCATGTGCTTCCAATGAGAATGCGAGGTTTCGCCGAGGAGTCACAAAAGCCCCAACACATTTTATTTTAATAAGAAATACAACTAATTAATTGGAAAAGGAATCAGGGATTTGGTCTCTGAGCTGCCAATTCTTATGTTTAGCTCCCTGCATTTCACACAAACATTAAAATAGAGGGTGACTTTTAAAACTGCAACATTCATCAGAACTAGAGGGATATGCACAGGAGCAGCTGTTTCAGAGGCAATGAGGAAACGCCCCCAGGAGCTCCCAGGGCTGCCCCCAGGGAAACGTGGTCTGGGAGTTCAGGGGCTGCTCCAGCTGTGCTGGCTTTGGTGGCAGGCTGGCAGCTTTGTGTCCACATATCACTTCCACTTGGGTTGTTCTGGCCCTCAGCGCCTGCTGCTGGCTCTTCTTACCTCACTGGGGCCCACCTGGGACAAGGTGCTGTCCCCTGGGGCCCGCCTGGCAGATCTTTCCTGACTCCCAGTTCCAGATGTGCATGTGAACTGCTGTTGGTCCTCACTGTCACCCTTTGAAGGGGGCGCCCCACCCAGTCAGCCTCTCCAGAGTGAGGCGCATCATTTGGGCCCATTGAGCGGATGCTCCATGGACTCACCAACAGTCTGCAGGGACCAGGGGATGGTAAGTAGACACCAAAGGGTTACAGTGGTGAAAGTTCCTGCTAATTATATGAGAATAATCCTTCTTATGATGGCCTAAAAAAAGGGGAGTGTGAGTCAAGAAATGAAGCCTAATACCCTACCAGTGCCTCTGGAGATGGACATTTGAAACATTGCTCTCCCCCAGTGGTCACATGTACTCCCACAGACTCAGTCATTGTGGGGCTTGAGCAGTGAAGATGTAAACAAACATGGTCTTCTCTGTCCCCATCGAGCCCCCACCCTTTTGAGTTGCTTTCCCCCTCAGTGTGAGCCCAGCTTAGTTGTCAGTGAATCTGACCCTCTCTCTTTGTTCTTTGGATCCATGATCACTGAGAAGTCACAAGGCACAAGGCCAGTTTTTTTGTTTTTTGTTTTTTTCTGTATAGGTGCCAGTTTTTAAGTGGATGGTCACACCTCTCCATGAAGGCAGCACACCTTTACGGTGAGGTAGTCCAAGTGGGCTGCAAAGGTCCTGGAAAGATGCTGCCTTGGGAAGCTCCAGTATTCTGATGCCTGGGGCCACTCTGAAGCAGTGCATTCTGCTTATTTCACTGGGGTCTCACCTCGTTTGGATCAAATGCTTTACTATGTAAACTGGTCTCATCTTATTCACTAATCTGAACCCGTATGATGTCTGGCCACTTCTCCAGGATTTTCACAGTGTTTGCAATAATGCAGCCCTGAAGCCAAGCTGAGATAAGCCTTCTGGTTTCACCCAGCCCTGGCCTAAATGTGCTGAGTGAGAGTCTGTGAGGTGGCCACTGTGGTGGGTCACTGTCTTCTGTGCTCCCACAGCCATGGGCCTGCCACTGGTGGCATCATGAAGTGTGCGATGAATAGCTGGAAATGTATTTCTTGTAGCCCACTACCTCCACCCACCCTCAAGTCCACATTTGGAAGTCAAAGACTGAGCCTTAGTTCTCCAGGGCCAGCTGGGCTGAGGACAGGAGGCGGTCAGTCTGCTGAACTGCCCAGCTATGCTGCAAACAACATTGCGGCACACGATCACACGTGGGGCCCAGCTGGTGCCTTCCCCTTCTCCCTACCCCAAGGCGGCCTCTGCCCTCTCTGACAGCAGCAGGCGGCCACTCTGTGGGGCCCTGTCTTACACCAGTGTGGACTTCATGGGATGGGGCCGACAGGGTATTCATTGCATTTATTTGTTCTATCACTACAGAAGAAGCATTTCAAAATGTGTACAAAAGAATACTCTATTCCGCCAGGGGTTACACCCCTTGTTCACAGCTAAACAGAAATAATTTAACATCATCGTAGAGGCAGGTTGGAAATACAACTGCATTTCCTCATTTACAATCCTGTACATGTATTTGCCAGAGTGGCAGCTGAAGACCTAAAGCTGCATTGAATACAAACAAATTGGACCTTAACAGTCACCACACACAACATTGTAAAAAAGTGTATTAGAAAGTATTGGAAACAATATTGCATATTAATATCTCGTCACACTTGTTCACAGTGAGTGCTATGCAACAAGAGCATATGTGCTTTTTTTCTGATGCCTGGACATCTTAAATAAGTCTGATTTTGGTTCACTATAAAGTAAAAAAATCCACATTGAACTGAATGAGAGAGATCTGGATTTTAAGTAGAGTTGACCCTTCATTATTGCTGGAACTTAAGAGCAGGACAGAGAAATACATTTGCTTCATGGTTTGTGTATATAAGTCCATTTCATCTTGCTTTTGTTTTGGCAAAAAGAGGACTCTATAAGAGTCACAAAGTAATCTGAACAAAACAAAAAAATCGCACAAAAATAGGAAAAAAACTCAACAGAAACAAAACTCACATTCTTGTAACATGTAGTTCTTTTTCTCAAGGAAGATTTTAAAATTTCATTACATTGTTGATTCTGAACAGCAAGTGGAACATGCTGGCATCTGAAGTGACTGGTGCTGGGACATGCCCTTTGGTGATAAAGCAGTAACACAGTTCTTAGGGACTCTTCGTCTAGGTCAAGCCCATGCTCTGTGGCACCCATCACAGAAGGGACCTGGGCAGGGGGCAGGAGTCCAGGCTCTGCATGGAGGGAAGCTGGGTGACAGGTGGGGCAGGAACACTAAACAGTGATTTCTCGTTGAAGTCAACAGATCAACCTGCTATAGCGGCTCTCCTTTCTCTGATACTTAAACACATGAGAGTGCGTGAAATGTAGGCACACTTCAGTACGCAGCGGTTCCCAGGACATACACACCCTCAAACAACAGAACAAACCACACAAAGAAAAGGTGTGAGGTCATGCAGAATCCTACTTTTACCAGCTAGGTGCAAAACGGTAACAGCTTTTGGTACAGAATATGGCCACCTCTCAAACATAATTTAATTACTTGTTGACGTTATGTGAAACCTTACTTTAAATACAATAGTTCAAAGAAACATGGTGTTACGATAAGAAACCACAATAAAAGGTGTGTAAATAGACAGTTATATAGGCTATAAAAGGCCGTGGGAGGAAGGGGAAAGCATTTTAAAAAGAACTCCTGTAGCGATTATTTACAATTCTGGGTAAGCTTTGTTTGAAGCCATGGGGAAAAATAACTCCTTTCAACTAATTGACGCTGTGGATGGATGGACTGGAACAGAACGGGTGCAACTGGCCAGCAAGCTGGTAAGAAGTCTATCACCTCGAACGTGTTCACTTGGAGGAAGTGTTATCTTTCTCAGGAATTGCATATTGGCCTCAAGCTGTCAGCAGCCAGCTCCTATCTACTCTCTTTTACTCAGGGCACTGGTGTGCCATGGTCTAAATTATTACCATTTTATTTCCTGTTTCAAAATGCTACACCATTCTGTAATCAAAGAAACCCATAACCCAGGAATGCTATCTGTGTAGACTCCCTCCTTTCAACAAACTCAAATGCACTCGGGCAGGCCTGTTTCTAAAGACTGAGGGTGAGTAATTCATTTGCAGAGTCTATAATGAATCCAAAGGAACACGAGTCAGGTTCTGGCTGCTCCCTGGGAAAATTCTTCCAGTGTTTTTATTTCTGGAAGGTCCCCAGACCTTTCACTGACTTAGATTCATTTCTAGCAGTGGTTCTCAACTTGGGGTGTTTGTCTCCAGGGGACATTTGGCAACGTCCGCAGAGATTTTTGGTGGTCAACTGAAGATGCTACTGGCATCTACTGAGTGGTGACCAGGGATGCTGCTAAATGCCCTGCAGTTCTCGGGAGAGTCCCCATGACACGGAATCATCCAGCCCCAAGGTCAATGGCACTGTGACAGGCACCCAGGGTTGGGATGACATGTGGAGGTGCTTACATGCACTGTTTCCTGTTTTCTCATGTACATCTTGGTTTAGTTTTGGCAAAGACAAGAACTGTAAACATCTGAAATTGTGTGCTCTTCCTTGTTAGGTGGTCAGGATTATTTTCCTAATGAGGGGATAGCCCTGAAGGAAGCCCCTCTCTGGTTGGGACTCGGACCCCCAAGCACTGCACTGGGGCTGCAGAGAGCACTGGAAGTCTAAGCCTGCAGGGGAAGCTCTGCCTCCAGCGTCACCTGCCCCTTCCCTGTTCTCCCTCATGGGCTGGTCACCCAGTTACCCAGTGAGAATGGGTGCGGGGCCATCCATCGTATTTATGTGTGGGCACCCGGGTGCTGCTTTGTCCTTGCAGGAGAGAGTTTCAGACTGTTTGAAAGGTTAGTTTCAAGCAGGTAGGTTCTGTGTGCCAGCAACACTGGATGGCTTCACTTGTCTTATTTCTGTGGTCTGAAAATTAATGGTCATTTTGAATCCTTCTTTTAAGGATTTTAAAACAAGAATAATATACAGTGAAGATAGGGAAAGAAATTTACCAACAGGAAGAAATTTAGACCTGTGGCTACAAACAAACATGCACTTTTGTGGGTGGGCCCTTATGCAGGAAAACAGGCTTCTGGTCATAGGTAGAACCAGCCTGGAGGGAATAGATACCCAAAGGAAAGATTGGAATTGGGAATAACACTTTGGTTTCTGAGGAGTTTACTGTCTGAGAGGCTCAAAAGGAACTGAGGTCCAAATTTCAGGGTGGGTGTTACAAATGTAGTGAAAGACTCTTGGCCATTGAAGGAGTGGGGCTGGGAAGCAAAGGACCACAGTCTCCAGTACACTCACAGGAACAAGAGTCCACTCCACCTGCAGCAAGCCTCAAGGGCCGAGCAGTATTGCCTGGTTTGGACATGGAGGATGAGTCTGAAAGGCTGTCCCTCCCATTGCACCCTCCTCCCACCATCTCGCCCTCTGCCCAGGGTGCTTGATGGTCACAGCTTTTCCCCAATGACGTATTTTCCTGTGTAGAATATGACTTAGAATAGCATCTTTAAAAAACTGCAGGCTCTCCGCCCTAGATGCATGCGGCCCCAGGCTGTGGCCTCGGCATGGTGTCTAAGCCCCGCTGCGATGGCGGTACCTCACCTGGGGCGTCTGCTCACCTGGAGCCCACAGGCACTGGGACACACCTCAGGTGCTGTTGCTCGGGGCTTCCGGGGCCTGGGAAACCACATCTGTGCGGAGTGAATTACGCGTGAACTGGCTCATTCCTTCCCAGGCTTTGGCCTGTTTTTGTAAGGTTCTGTCTGACAATGATAAGCAGTTTGGAGGAGGGGTTTCTGGGAAGCGGCATGAGTGGGGTTCAGCTAGCAGTCTATGAAACGTCTACTAAGACAGCAATTTTGGGAGCTCCACATGTAACCCTGCACCTAACAATAAAACTCTTATTTTCAAAAAGCAAATCAAATCCCAACCAACCAACTGAAACAAAACGAAACAGAACACCACCTAGAAATCAAAGCACAGTGTTCTGGCGCAGTCCGTGCTGCTGGCAGGAGGGGCGGGCAGTGGCCCGTGTGCTTTTCTTGGAGGGGGTCCATGCCGCACAGGGGGCTTAGCTCATGTGGAAGCGGTGCTCCCCCCGCGTGATGTGGGACGAGAACTCGTACCTGTCCTGGCTGTGGTAGCCACACATGTTGCACTCAAAAGGATCACGGAAGCCGTGGCAGCCCATGTGGATGGTGTACATGACGTGGTCCAGGAAGAGCACCCTGCAGTGTTCGCACCGGTGCACCTTCATCGGCTCCCCGCTCGGGCCGATCACCCGGAAGGCGTCCTGGGAGCTCTCGGAGGCCGCCCGCAGCACGTCGTAGGCCTGGTGCTCCTCCTTGATGGACAGGCCGTTGCGCGCGTGCGGGTTGATGTGGTTGGTCAGGTAGATGAGGCCGCCCCGCTGCTCCTCGTTGTTGCTCTCGGTGTCTGTGGAGTCTTGGCAGCTGTTGCTCGGGGACGCCTCCCTTTCGGAGGACACCGACTTGGCCTTGGAGAGCAGCAGCAGGTTCTCCACGGCGCTGTCCTGGGCGGAGTGGTTGGACCGCGGGGGGCCCTCCACATGCGGCTTGTGGAGCTGGTACATGGGGCTGATGACTGGGACCACCTCAGAGCTGCCTGGGGGCATTTGCACGAGGGGGCGCAGGGACTCGGCCCCCAGGTAGCTGATGGCGTTGTTGATGGCTTGGTCCATCACGTGGGTCTGCATCATCTCATTCTCCTTCTCGTAGCTGGCACTGCTGTCATAGGGCATGTCTGACAGGCACTTGTCCCCTGTGGGAAGCAGGTGACAGTCTGTGAGGCCTGGAAAACCTCTGTGGTAACAGCTGACATCTAACCCAAGGGGGGCACCGACCTAGTGGTGTCCCGGTGTGCCTGCAGACGTGCAATGTGAACACCTCCACGATACTGGAAGGTGGAGCATCTCTGTGGGCACCTAGCACAGGGACCTGCCTGAGCTGCCCTTTAAGTAAATGTGGCTGGACAAATGGGCTGTTGGTGGCTGGTAAGGGTGGTGGCAGCACAATGAGTAGCTGAAGCCAAGACGGTGCGTGTCAATTTCAACAGCACATATTCAAACAGACTACACAAATATGTGTGTCTTTTCCTATGCATGGTATAACTAAGCAGTATTACATTTAATTTAAGATTAATTTTCAAATGATGTGTTTTTAATAGAGTGTTCTAAGTAATTTACAATACCTAGTTTGTCTAAGTAAATTACAATACCTAGGTAATTTACAATTACCTAAGTAATTTACAATACTTAAATAAATAAATTTATTTAAGATACACAATTATAAGATTGTTCACAATATGCATTATGTTTTTACTTAAAGCATTACAAGATATATTTTTAAATTCATAACTTGAATAACTCTAGAATGAAATTTAATCAAAATATATGATACTGGTGTATTATTTATAATAAAATGATATCATTCTTGTCAATAACGCAAAGCTGGCTCTGACTCATGGAGAGAGTAAAAAATATGGTCAGTCCCCACCTGATGCTCCTCAAATCTCACCTGCCCTGCAATTGTTAGCAGCACTGGAGCCACGGGGTGGAAATTTGGGAGCAAACTGAGGAAGCTGCCAGGTGAAGGTGTGCCATTCATTTGTTCTTTCAAAGATTACTGAGCATGAATGATGCCCAAGGAACTCGCCAGCACTCAGCAGCAAAGAGCTTCACCTCAATAATAGTCCCTTTGTTAGAGCAAGTAGGCTTCCTGGGGAAAGGGGAAATCTGGGACTAGCTTTGGCTTCTTGAAGATAGCTTTTGCATAAAAGTAAAATGAGTTTCCTTGAAGATACACCTTCTTGATAAATTCAGTATGAAACCATGGCTTAATATGCAGATCCACTCATTCACTGTTTGGCCTCCTACTGTCAGAGCTGCTGACTGGCTTTCCTTTCAGTGTAGTTAATTCCAAGTCCAAGCCCTTGGGCCATGCTTGTTTACATTTTAGCCCTCACAAGCTGTTTTTTCCTTCAACGCATCTTCATTGAGCTTTTACCATAAAGCAGACAGGAGGGATAGAGAGGGGAGCACATGAAATGGTCCCCATGGTTAGCAGTGTACAGCTAACAGGGTAGAGGGACATTAAAGCATGCTTGCCCAGAGCAGTTGGGTAGCATCCCAGTCTGAGGGGCCCTGGGGAGAAAAAAAAGGCTTGCTTCCAGAGCATCACACAGGCTTGTGAACCTAGAAGAATCAGCCAGGCAAGTGGAGTTTTGTGTCCCAACGACGGGAGCAGCAAGGGGAAACTGAGATGAGAAACAGCCCAGAGCTTTGGATTTATGTTTTTACTTAAAGCATTACAAGATATATTTTTAAATTCATAACTTGAATAACTCTAGAATGAAATTTAATCAAAATATATGATACTGGTGTATTATTTATAATAAAATGATATCATTCTTGTCAATAACGCAAAGCTGGCTCTGACTCATGGAGAGAGTAAAAAATATGGTCAGTCCCCACCTGATGCTCCTCAAATCTCACCTGCCCTGCAATTGTTAGCAGCACTGGAGCCACGGGGTGGAAATTTGGGAGCAAACTGAGGAAGCTGCCAGGTGAAGGTGTGCCATTCATTTGTTCTTTCAAAGATTACTGAGCATGAATGATGCCCAAGGAACTCGCCAGCACTCAGCAGCAAAGAGCTTCACCTCAATAATAGTCCCTTTGTTAGAGCAAGTAGGCTTCCTGGGGAAAGGGGAAATCTGGGACTAGCTTTGGCTTCTTGAAGATAGCTTTTGCATAAAAGTAAAATGAGTTTCCTTGAAGATACACCTTCTTGATAAATTCAGTATGAAACCATGGCTTAATATGCAGATCCACTCATTCACTGTTTGGCCTCCTACTGTCAGAGCTGCTGACTGGCTTTCCTTTCAGTGTAGTTAATTCCAAGTCCAAGCCCTTGGGCCATGCTTGTTTACATTTTAGCCCTCACAAGCTGTTTTTTCCTTCAACGCATCTTCATTGAGCTTTTACCATAAAGCAGACAGGAGGGATAGAGAGGGGAGCACATGAAATGGTCCCCATGGTTAGCAGTGTACAGCTAACAGGGTAGAGGGACATTAAAGCATGCTTGCCCAGAGCAGTTGGGTAGCATCCCAGTCTGAGGGGCCCTGGGGAGAAAAAAAAGGCTTGCTTCCAGAGCATCACACAGGCTTGTGAACCTAGAAGAATCAGCCAGGCAAGTGGAGTTTTGTGTCCCAACGACGGGAGCAGCAAGGGGAAACTGAGATGAGAAACAGCCCAGAGCTTTGGAGGGACAGAATGAAGGTGGTGGGGCCAGAGCCCTGGGCATGGGATGGCAGGGGACAGCGTCACATAGGTAGGCAGGGCTGGACCAAGCAGAGGCTTTGCCCACAGGCGGATGGGAAGCCACTGAAGGGTATGAAGGCAGGAGGGCCCTTCTCAGTTGCCAGGGCAAGAACAGGTGGGGAGGGCAAGGTAGGGAAGGTAAGGTAGGGAAGGTAGCCACAAGGGGCCAGGTTATAGGCTGTTGGTGGCTGGTAGGGTGGTGGCAGCACGGAGTCCCCACACCTCCCACACCTGACATTGAGGTCTGCTGGAAGACCTGCCATTTTAGCAATGGAAGGACAAAGTACTCAATAGCTCATAAATAGTCCTTTAAAAAAATTCTCTGTCCATTGATAACTGTCCAGGAGTACGCTCCATCATGCCATACAGAGCCTTTAGGTCTCATTTCTTGCTTTGCAAGGGAAACTTATCATCTAACGGCCTGGCTTCCATTCATTCTAATCTGCTGCTGGCCAAGAGTGGCACATGTCCTGATAATGGTACAGTGTGATCCTTAGATTAAGGGAAGAAGACCTCTTGGTGGCTGGTCACACCCTCGGCAAAAACTCGGCAGAAACTGAACAAAACAGGATCTCTTTGGAAGCTGGGAGGCAGTGACACAGAAGGGGTGTCTCTCTCCATTAAAGGTTACGAGAAGTAGTTGGGTAGCATTACTGAAACCACAGTAATTTTTAACTTTTTGTTTTGTTATGTTTTGAAGGCTAAAGGTCTTGCTACACCAATTCTAGAACAGAATGAATCCATTCTGGCTTGTCCCCAGTCTATCCCTCTACCAAACCCTGGCAAGGAGCAGAGTTGGAGGCAACTTTGAGGCCAATGCTAATATATACTAACAGGTTTACAGCCCCAATAAAAATGCCACTTTCCCATCTAATCATACTGTTTCTCCACAAAGTCACTGGCTCTGTGGTTATCCAAACAGCCAATCAGATCCGTTGTTTTAAAAACTTGGTTATCAACAACAAATGAGTGTAGGGAAAAAAAGACATATTTAGAATACGAAGGAATATTGAAACTATCCACAACATTTCTCTTCCGTAATTCTCCACAGAGTGAGAAAACTAAAAACCCCCAAAATTCACTTTGGCAATTGGCTAAGGAAACAAACATATTCTAAAGTACATATTTTAAAAAATCAAGGACCAAGGAAAGAAATTCTGGTACAAGATACACAGCAAAGCTTGGCTGCTGATGTCATTTCTAAAAACTTTACATATGAATCAATAAAGTCCTTACATTTTCCTCAGTATCCTCCTGTCTGTAGAGAATCAATTCAAATAAATGTCTTTTTCCACTCCTGATCAAAGAGCAGTTGCTGAAGCCTCGGGTAGCCAGGACAGACTAACTAACACTGGCCAAGCAAGCAGTGAGGCCTGCTCTCACGTCCTCTATGCTGTTGGCGGAGGTGGAAGCGACCCAAAGCCCTGAGCATCTCCCTGTGGGGAGGAGAATCACTCCCCCCAATTCAGTGATAACTAGTCTAGGGCATTTAAGCAGAATCTCAAAACGAGGGAGAGAGAACAGAGAGAGTTTTTAACAAAGCCTGCACTTGGCCTCACCTGCATTCCCTCCTCCACCCACCCCTGGCATTCTTTAGAAATGATTTAGAAAAGCCAATATCTCTCACAGGGGAAAAAAAAATAAGGCTCACATACAGTAGGAAGAATGTTGACATGTCAATCAGGCTCTATTAGCCCAAGATGGAAAGAAGTGTCATGGTTACTGTGAAAATATTTTCTAGAAATACAAGGGAATGTAGGAAGAAAGGAAGTAAAAAAGACCAATATAGCCCATCCCTGGAAAAAAGCCTAATTCAAGGAAGAGAGGAAATGTCTCGTATTTGCTTTGTGACATGGATTCAATGACAGAAAATACTGAAAGAGCATGTTAAAGCAACAGAATGAGATGAAAGAGGAGATTTTGGATCTCAAGAATCAAAATGATGTTCAAAACAGTATTACTACAGAACTGACACATGGATTAGAAGCATCAGGTAATAGAACATAAAATACTAAAAATGGTATTACTGACATAGAGGAAAAGCACAAGATCATAACAGTGAATAAATGTGAAAACAATTTCAAAAATAAACTTAAAAAATACTAACAGATATAGAAGACAAATTTTCTGACATAAGGACAACTGGGATCCCTGAATGGAGATCCTAACAGATGGAACAAAAGATGTTTTCGTAGAAAAGAGAACTTCCCAGAGATCAAGAGAAGAAGAAAGTTGGAAAAGGTTGCTTGGATGTAAAGTCCAACCAGTTAACAGATTAACCAAAATAAATAGAAATAGTACTAAAAGGACCAGGTCTGAGCCTTGAATCTATTTAAATGTAAAGTTAATAAAAAAACAGCTAAACTACTATGAGAATTATGATTGCAGAATAGAATGTGGATATTATGAAACTGGGTGATATAAAAATAATAATATAACTAAACACTGGGAAATAAAATAATGTCCTTATTTTTCAAAGCCAGTAGATACCACCTAAATTGAAACAAGTGGATTAGAAAATGACTTGAGGGTCTTGTTTTTCTTACTATATAATAATGTACTTTTAATTTTAGAGAAACTCTTTAAAAAATGGTATCTTTCTGTGAGAAAATGTTTATTTGAAGATCAGCCAATGTTTCCAGTTTTGTTTGCTTCTTATTTCACCTCTAAAATTTAAGACATATATAAAAGTGATACTTTCACTTGAAATAGCATTTATAGTATGATAGTAGCTCATAGAAGTGTGTGTTCCACACCAATCTATCAATCTGCCTGCTCATCATCCCATTCACTCCCACAGCTATGAAGAGAAAACTACTTACAATGATGTTCAGCTACTCTTTAGATTGGTAATTTTTGGATGTTGGATTTTGTGGTGATTGGAAAACACTCATCTTTGCATTAAAATTTTTTATATTAACCATGTGTCATTTTAATAACACAACAGGTTTTTTTTCTTTCCTTGAAAAAAAAGGTAATATACCAAGATAATTATAATGGGAAGCAGGAATATTGATCATTGCTTTTTTCCTCTTTATTTCCTGTTCTGTATTTTAAAGATTTTCTCATCACAATCAGCAGAACAAGAACAATGATTAGCATTGCTATGTAAAATTATCCCTTTTCTGACGGGCTTCATCCATCCTGCCGACCTATATCAGATTATCCCAGAGGATGAGATCTTAGATGACATAATGGTGAGGAATGTTGCTGGCAACATAAATGTTTATTTACATTCATGAAAAAGTTTAATTAAAAAATTTTAGCCACATATCATGCATCAATTAAGCAAAAGTATATGCCATTCTGAGCAATATTCAACATGAAAATAGTGTCATTTTACATTTCTAAGGTACTTTCCAGTGATGAGAACACTGCCACATTCATTATCCCTTTTGCTCCTCAGAACAGTACTGGTTGGGAGGCAAGGCAGGAGCCGCTGCACCCATTGCACTGATGGGGACAGAGTCCACTGACACGTGCTCAAAGTCAGTAGTCATAGCTGGAGCTGGACCCTGAACCCAGGTCTCTTGAATGCAAACCTGGAGCTCTTTCAACTCCATTGCTACTGGGCCAGCATATATGACAATAGCTATATTCCTACATATTTTCTGGATTTATATAAAGGATAAATTCAGCATCTAGAGGTGAAGAGGGAACTTAGGGACCAATCCCTTTTTTATTTTAGAGATGGAGAAACTGGAAAGTTAGGGGTTGTTAATCAAAATCCCATCAAATTGAATTGAGGACAAGGTGGGCACCTGGGACAAGAAGAGGCATTATTTTAGAAATAATTTGCTAATCACCAGGCTCTTGGGGAAACGCTGAACAGGATGCCCAGTGGCTTGTGGGCCCTTCTTTCCGCCCCCACTCTAATTCCTCCTCCAACTGTTCCCATTACACCTCTGTGTGCGCTCTCTCCCCTCAAGGCTTCTTGTTCACCTAAGCTTTGAGGGTTTATTTTATCTATTTATTTATTTCTTAAGTAGGGAAGCATCTAAATCTCAAGACAACACCGCATTGCAGTCTCACCCGAGGCAGTATCGGATAGTGTCATTTGGTTTGAATTCTCTTTGAATTCTCCAAAAGCTGAAACGGGCTGCAAATGTTCCTTGACAAAGCCCTTGGTGTGCTCTGGCTTCCTAACGTGAAGGAGGAAGTCGTATGGCGTCCAAGGTCAGGGATGCTGCCAACAGGCAGTCCCCCTTGGTGCCCTGTGTTGTGTGCTGCCCAGCAGGGGGGCCCTGCATTCTCACCCGGCCAGTGCCACTTAACTCCCCACGCCACCTGCCAGCTGCTGCTTGGGACCCCGTTCCTCCCCTGCTCCCGTTGCGGAAGGTCTCCCTCTAGCTCACGGTCCACCGACTCCCACTTCTGTGGATGACTCCCCACATAGTGTCTCCAGCCAGTGGTTTGCAAACTTTTATTTTTAAACTGAATCCTTCCTTCCCCCATACCTCCCAGCTGCCAGCCTATGACGAACCTCCATTTAAAACTTGATCAAATGGAACCTGTTTAAAGGGCAGGAGGGAAGCCGGAGCCCGCAGGCACCCTCTGCAACCCGGGCTCACGGTTGACCCTGATGTAGATAAACTATCGTCTCTCCTGAAGTACCTTTCTCAAGCTCCCTTGTGATATCTACACCAGGAGGTCCCTGAAATTCAAACCCAGAACTCTTGTCTTTTCCCTGAACCTGACTTGATCAGCACTGCGATAGGGTCACCGTGCCTCACAGTTTCCACCACCTGGTCCCTGTGCTGACCTTGACCTCCTCCCTTCCCTGTGTCCCTCTCCTCTGTTCCCTCCTCTCTCCATGCCACCCCCACCCCACTGCTGCCATTTCCAATCCTTTTTTGGCACTTGCGGTCTCTGTTTTCTAAGATGTTACTCCAAAAATATGCCAATGCTTTCTCCTTCCTACTGATTGAGGATAGAGTTCTCACTCTGGCTTTCAGAGGCTATTCGTCCTGTGGCCATAGCTTACTGGGACTTTATTTTTATTGTTTCCCTGAGGGTGTATGAGTTAGCCCAGAGCATGCCCTGCTCCTCAATCCTGTCCCGCACGTCCCTGTGCCTCCCCCCACAACCAAAATCACCATTTCTCTTTATTTTGATCTGCCTGCCTAGCATCCTCTCCCATTCTTCACTGTCAATAATGTGCTGGAATCCTATTCTTCCATCAAGGTCATGGTCAGTTTGATGAAGCTTTTACTGATCCTGTTTCCTGGACAAGACCCTCCCCCATCACGGATCTCCTACCTGGACATGACCCTCTCCCCAGGGTCCTGTGCCCTGGACATGACTTTCCCCCCAGGGTCCTCTTTCCATATCATCCCTGTGATAATAAGTGACCTTCACACTGAGACTTTAAGTGTTTTCACATCCTTGGTATTAGCTTATGTTCACAAAACCCTGTGAATCATGTAAAGAATGGAACCAAGGCTTAGAAAGGCCAGGCCATTTTGCCAGAAGGCTGTGTATTGTCACCCCCAGGTTGGGCCTGGCATGTCGTGCACTTCTGTTCTTACACCTGCCCAGATGTCATTCTACCTGCACTTCGGGTGTCTGCCTGGATGATGTGATTGGTGCATTTGATCATCTACGTGGGACAATAAGCTCCCTACTGCACTGGGACACTGTGGTGGGGGCTGTGGGGCGAGCCCCTGGCCTGGCCTGGGAAGACTGACCTGGCCCCTCCCAGAAGGACAGGAAGTGTCCACAGGCAGCTCTCACCAAGTGTCCTTGACGTTGCCAGACCATGTCTAGGAAAAACTACCAGGAGAATATTTGCTATTTTTAAGAGGCCTACTGGAAAGAATTCTAAGAAATATAAGAAATATGAAGCTTCCCAATTTTGGCTTTTTAAAAGCAATGAGATATTTTTTCTTCTACCCTTGACTAATTACCATCTGAGTCTAAAACACCCGCGTAGTTGTTTTTTAAGAGACAGCAAACGTTTAACTCTTACCAACAAATTTCTGAGGCATAGAGCTCTTACGTTTGGCGACGTTACTTGCTAGTCTGTCCAGCACGAGGGATCTCTCTGATCCTATCTTGCACAAGTCTTCTGCCATTTCACTGTGATTAGTTTCTTCTTTAATGACTAAAGTCAAAGACAGTTAAGAGAGGCCAGTTTAGAAAGGCTTACAGTGAAAGGATTCAGTCACATCGTGTTAAATCTGACATTTGCTAAGTGCCTACAAAAGCCAGGCCCTTTGTAGAGATTATTTCTAATCTTCCCAGCAACTCTGTCAAGCAGCGGCTGGCCAAGGCCACCTCCTAATGAAAGCTGTGAGCTGCACATTATCTCCCAAGCCCAAAGGAATGAACACCACCACTGTCACTAGAAACTGGACAGTGATTAAGTAATTGTGTCCCTTTGACAAGTTCTCTTAACTTTTCAAATACTCTCAGATGCACTAATTCAGTCAGTCCTGACATCTGCCTTCTGAGAATCAAAGAACTGTCAGAAACAGAAACGATCTAAGGGTCTGACTCCACCGACTGGCACAGCGAACTGAGATGCAGCAGGAACATGGCCCCTCATGATGTCACTGCACACCCTGGAAACCTGGGGAAAGAGCCCAGAGCTCAGAGCCCTGAACACAAAGAAAACTCCAGAGAATCGCATAACACCTGCAAATTGTAGAAAATTTAGGAATTGTGGAGGTACATGTTGATGTTGAGAGATTTTCTAGCTGATCTGCATCTTTCCATAGTGCCTTTCCACAGTTGAAGATACAACTTTGTATGCTGTGTAGTTTATCTATAGTCTAGTTTTATGGTTGGAGTTTTGAAATACAACTCCTTTCCCTGCACTTTATCCTAATACATAAGGAGCTGGAAATGCAAACCAATTATCTTCCAAATGGCGAATCAGTTCTTCCAGCACCGTTTCTGAGTAGCCCATTTAAATCCCACTGTCATATACTTCCTTCTTTCTAGGGTGTGACCTGCTGATTTATCACAGGGTCTTTGGGGAGGCGGGGGTCTGTCCATTCTATTCTTGATCTGTCTATCCTTCAAAGTGTTCCATATTACATCCACATTTTAATATCGCACTAGACATTTCTCTTTTAAAATAGAGCGATTCTTTCATTGATTTTTCCAGATATACTTTATGATAATCCACTAAGATTTACAAACCATTTTTATGTTGCAATCATGCTTTGTTTCAGAAGGGGTACCCTTGTGGCGTCCAGCCCTCTCCCTCACGCCAGCCATACCTCTTTCCTACCCCAGCATGGCTTGGTAGCTTTCTCTGTTATGTTCTGCACATTGCCTGCTAAGCTTTTTCTAAGTATTTTATGTCTTCACTGTGACTATGAATGCCACTTGGAAAACATGTATTTCAGATTGGTTATTATCCTAGGTATATATAATTTTTTAACTTTGGAAATGTGTGTTTTGATTAAAGGGGCAAACAAAGTTGCTCATATGCTGGTTTACATGAAGGATACACACGATTCATAAAATCTGATTCCACTGGTCGTACATTTGACCTATTGAGCTAACATGCTTCTTTACACATCCATTCTTCTCTGAAAAGAAGCAGGGCTCTGTGCCTGCCCAGTGGGATTCCCTCCCTGCCAAGCTACAGGGCCTCCTGGGAGCCAAGGCCCTCAGACCTACAGTGAGGGACAGATGAGCCAGTGCCACCAACCACTGGCCACCATGCCTTTTGCTGAATTTCCCTTAAACAGCTTGAACACAATTTGTGCACCTAGTTGATTATCTCCTAAAGGCTCAAGAGAACTTCCTTCTTCAGTAAAGACATTAGGAGATTATAACAGATGACCAAAAAACTTTTTACTAAATGAAATTATGTTCAGAAAAAGTAATCTTTTCTACATCCTAGCTAGATGAGACTTTGTTTTACCTAATTTGGAAGAGTGGCTCCAACCTAAGCAGACGGGAGAGAAGAAGCTGCTTGAGGTCTGTCCATCTGAGGGCTGATGGGGGTAGCCTTGGGGGCTGTGGGAGGTCAGGAGATGGGACATGCACGCAGGACAGCAAAGCTAAGTGACCGGACCCTGTAACCTGCTGCCCCTGCCTGTCAAATCCCAGACAGAGTCTTAGAAGATTTTCCAGGTATTCCAGTAATTCGATCACCAAAGGGAATAAATTAACATTTCAGGATTGAATTGATTCTGACTGTAGGGTAATATTTGATATGTAAATATAATTTATCTATCTATCTCTCTATATATATCTGACATAAAAGCTCACTGACACAGACAGCCAGGCCTCAGTGAACCACAGCCGCCTCCCCTGGGAAGCTCTCAGCCTGCCCTGACTCTGCAGCTTGTTTCTTTAGCAACAACGGTGGAGGAAGTCAATGTGTGCTGCCTGTGAGTCTTGTTCGCTTTGTCTTCTCAAGCCCATATGTACAGTTTTAAGGGGAAATTCAGCTTATCCCATTCTATAGGGTTTAATGGTGTGGATTACAAGTCCTTAGTAAATATCTGTTGAGGAGATAAATGGTGCATTTAAACACTCATCAGGAGCACTTACTTTCAAGATCCATTAATTTACTTTTTATAGAAAAATACACTATCTGAGGATTTACAGTTTGTTTTAAAGGAGCATAATCACCAGCTAGCTTCCTACCTCGGGGTCTGGCCCCAAACTGGTGGCTGTTAAGTTATTCTTATTTTAATATTTACTTAGTCTTTAAAGAAAGCTAAATGACAATTTAATGCAATCTCCCATTTCATAGGTGAGAAGCTTCAGGCACAGGCAAATCAACCATCAGCCCCGAGACCCACAGCTGATGGGTGGGGAAGAAAGTGCGAGAAACGCAGAGCTCTCGCCTACCACGTGTTGCCTCTTGATGCTGAGGCTACTTGACTTTTAGGACTTCATTCTGACTGCTCTCTCCCCCTGCTTTATGTGCTGCTAATCTGCGTGTCCTTGAATGTCACCGAATGCTACCTAAAAAATGGCTAAGATAGTAAGTTTTATGTTTCAGGTTACACATCTTTTGCCACAATAAAAAAATCCAGTAAGTAATCATATGAAAATTTTTAAAAAATCTGAGTGTTCCCTGGTAGATTTCCCTTATGAGTAATTCTTTAAAGTCAGAAAGCTGAGTGAGGCTTACTAAGCTCTCAACTACTAATTTAACTTCTACCCCTGGGTCCCATGGTGATATCCAGTGGTAATGCCAAATGAACAATGTTTTAAAGGAGGTTAGCATTAGTTGATTTATTTGTGAAGTTCTTATATCTTAAAAAGTTAGAAAAGTGCCTTTTATAATATGTCCGTCCCTCTGAGTGAATTCAGCCTCCTTTGGCACTATCTCTTCACATCTTTCACTTTACATTACCTAAGATTAGAGTCAAGTGCTATCTCATGATGCAATACACAGCAAGGCCTCCAAGCTCACAAGAAAAAAGCAACCTTTCCTTGAATCCTATGACAGCTCCAATACTCTGACTGTCAGGTTTTTCCAACGAGCTCACTCTGTTGATCCAGGCAGGTGCCAAAACCAATGAATGAAAACACAACATGAAAGCTCTTATTTGATAAACTTCATGAAAAAAAATAGGTTCTTAAAATAGGATTTCATATCTCACTCTGATTGCTATGCATAAGGAAGCGACTGATACTCCAGGTTAAAAAAAATTTACAAAACCTTAAGAAGAGAACAAAACAAAGCCCCCCATCACACTTTCAAAAGTCATTACCATCTTAGAAGCTTCTGTAGATTTCAAGAGGGAGGGTTTTAGGGTCGGGCTGACTGGACGAGGACTCGGGGAGCACAGTGTGCTCCGGCTGAGCTGTGTGATATGAGCGGCCAGAAAGGCCCCCTCGCAGCTGCGGTGGCCAAGGGGCCTGCGCTCTGCTCCCAGGGCTGCGCCCCCAGGCCCTTCCTCACCGCGCGCTGGGGGAGAGCCGGAGTCAGGCTGGCTGGCCTCTGTGCTTGCAGCGCTTACCTGGGTACAGCGTGCCTGGAAGGCCCATGCTCTGCAAGTAGTTGTGGCAGCGCTCTTTATGTTCCTCTAAAGAGCTTCGCTGTTTATAGCTTCGGCCACAATATCCACATTTGTGAGGTTTACCAACTGCAGAAAACACAATTGAGTTCAAGACCCCAATTAAATATCGGCCTTGTGTGTAATGGGAATGCATTCAATACAGTTATTACTAAAAAGTTTTAAAAAAAGCCCAAAACCAAAAAAAAAAACCCCACAAAAAATGCTACTCTTGAGAGCTAAAGCATTATGGACTTGGTCAAAATTATTGAATTAAAAAATTCAATTCCAGGGGTTTCCTTGATTGTTCCAAGAACTCCTGTGAGTCTTGTTTCACTTAATCTGTCCACTCTACTGACTACCAAATTCTCCCCTAAATCACTGAAGTCTGTCCTGTCCCTGGAGGAAATGCATCACTGCAGTGCCATATGTGGGCAGAGTCAGGAGGAAGGCCCTATGTGGGCTGGGAGATGCATGGATGCCCCCAGAAGTCACCCTTGTTCATGTCTATGCCTGGGCCAGGTATAGACCCTGGTGCTACATTTAATGCAACCAAAGTGAATTCAATTCCAGGGTATCAAACTGGATGATCTGAGTCTCTGAGAAACCATAATGCATAAGTATACTCTAATGAAATGAGCATTTTATTTCCAAAAATATTCCCTTGTTTTTAGAAAAGTTCTGTTTCCTCCTAAAGAGCTTTAGGATGGTGTGACTTCCCGAACAGCCCTGCCCAACAGAGCTCACTGTGAAGATGGAAATGTCTCCTCTCTGTGCTATCCTGTATGGTGGCCATTGTGCTGGTGGCCATCAGCCTTAGGTGGCTACTGAGCAAAGTATTGCTATAGTGTCATTGAGGACATGGTTTCAATTTTGTCTAATTTTAATTGATGAAAATTCAAATTTAAATAACACATATGGCTACTAAGTACTGAGCAGTACAGTTCTGCATAATGAGTTTAGTTCTTTTTGAATTTACTGAGCGGTATTTTAGGAAAAGAAGACTAGCAGGACTTCGTATCCTGCCCAAGTTTAAAGGCATAAATAGCATTTTAAGAGATGAAATAGATAAAGCACCTTTAATTAATTACATAAGGAATGCAAATGTCCACCCTAAGACTAGCATCTTCTTCTGCTTCCTGTCATACTGTTAGATTTCACATATTTGAAAGTATATAAAAATACCATCCAAATAGGAATGCTTGGTAAAATGTTTAATCAAAGTTTGCATTGGTTAAATCTCTTCCTTAGGTGACAGAAGCTATGGTTTAAGAAGACTAAAATGACAACCAAAATTTGACTTTTGAAACATTTAATAGATGAAGAAAGGGCTCTTCCTTTGCCTAAAGAAAGTGCTGTGTTCCTAACATCAGGGAAATAACATTGAAACACAGTGTTGCCTTAAAGTGCACATTTTATTGAGTCCTGACTTTAGGAATTAATAGAACATTGGTGACCACCCAGGTCCAGAGAATGGACCCCCAGGACATTGGTCCTCCCTGGAAAAGCTGTAGCTTTAGCAAATTCCTATATATATAGCATGGTGTCTGAATATCTATCTTTCCTAATTACATGATTGATTTTAAGTCTGGAACTTAAGAAGTAAGTTCACGGTAAGAACTGATTAAAGTATATCTTGAAACAGCCCCCAATATTCTGCATGAAGAAAGTCTCTGCAGGTGCTTGCCACTTCCAAAGACTGAGGAGGGAAGGAAGGGTCCCTCCCCTCCCGTGCCAGGCCACCCTGGACTTCTTGTTCCCAGTATTGAACAAACTAGAATTATACCACCACTGATGTGAGGTCTTTGGGACCTCAGGCCACCACAAGCTGCTAGGGAAAGTTATGAGGTCAATCGTGTTTTTTTGGTGGAATGGGAGAGTGGCCACTTCATGATCAAATAGAATGTGGCCACTCGTGAGTCTGCAGACTAAGGCTGAAGTCTACATTTCATTCTAGTGAAAATCATCTTACTGAACCCAGAGCAGTTCTTTTCCAAGACCTATGTGTCAGACGCACTTGCAGACAACAGAATCCCCAGCAGCCCTCGATCAGTGATGTTCTTCTCAGTGTAGTGTTATCTACTTGCTCTTCATGGGTCCATAACAGAAGTAAACTGTCCAAAGTCTACCACTGTTATACATATTACTCAGGTAATTAGCTGTACTTAGAGCAGGGCACCATCATGCCTTAAATGAAATAAGCAGGCATGGGGCAGAACGACGTGCCCCATGTTGAATTTAAATTTCATCTAATGAAATACTGCATTAGTATTTGTTCCTAAGTTCACACTACAAAAGAAAAGAGTGGCATTGCGTTGAGTTCTAAGGACTGATGCAGGACAGACGTCTGTTGCAAATCAGAAGAATCCAGGGAGGACGATGAGACGGTCGGTGGCACACTAAGGAGGAGTCTCTGTGTCTTCCTCCAACGTGGGCAGTTGTGCTTCCCGCCAGCGCAGTGTTCCTGTCAGTTGTCTGCTTCACTCCTGATAGGCACCATATGTGACTATGTCTAGTCCACCTGTTAGGTGCTCTAAACAGGTCATGTGCCTGTCGCATCTGAACATATACGGACCCCTTCTGACCCACACTCACCTCTGGGTGGGACACGTAGATACTCATTATTCACACATTTAAATGTTTAAACATGCTCACTGTCATGCTGTCCCATTCCACTCTGGAGAAGCCACGTGTTCTTTCTGTTCCCTGCAGCAAAGCTTTCCCCAGCAGTCAGCACATGGCCCCACTGTCACCCCTGCTGACCCGTCCACTCTATGGGAGGAACAAATCCTCAGTTTTGTACAACTCCTTTCTTGGAAGATTTCAAGAAGCTTACCCAAATCACAGTTCTCTAAGGAAGAGCCTTTTGGGAGCCTACTCCACACTGACTACCAGGAAGGAGAACAGAATGAAGAACTAGAAAGAATGGACCCCCAGGACCCTGCCACTTCTTTCCCCAAACCTGCTCCCTGGATGAATTCACACAGGTGCCACTGGCAGGAGGAAGCTCAGTTTCTCCACTACGCCTGCCCAGCTGTGCACCACACCCCTTCCAGGGTTGTTTATGGAATCACACATCCACTTGGACCTTCTCTAAAGGGGCCCCTCACCTTTGGGCATGGCCTCAAGACTCCCTGCTGGAAATCTTCCTAATGCCTCCTGCCCCAAGACAACTGTTCCAACCTGGCGTTCCCACAATCCCCTTGGACATGTGTGGCATGGTACCTGTAACAACTCTGGTGCTTTGCTACTTCACACCTGCCTCCTCCACAAGATAAGATGGTCCCTTGCCCTCACTGAGTGCAAGACAAAGAAATGGACACAAGGAAGTGGCCTTTACATCAACTGCACTTGTCACAGTGGGAAGGAGATGGAGACATGCCTAACCCCAAGGCCCCAGCATGCCCTGCTCTGGGGGAGGCACCACCTTCAAGGTGCTGCCTGGTGAGGAGAAGGAGCTGATCTGAAGCCTCTTTCTCTCCCAAGCGCCCTGCATGAGAAGTCACTGACCACTGGCAGGTTTGGATGAGGAGGTCTGTGAGAGCAGGGGCCGGGGCCCCTTTGTCTCTCTCCCAGAGCTCCTGCAAGTGCTGCAACTCTCCCGGCTGGAGAGCATGTGGGTGCAGCACACAGGCCCCACAACCTTATTCCTGTGACCTGTAAGGTGATGGGGCCAGGAAGTGCCCAGGAAGAGGTCTCTGGAGGCAGAAGATCTGACCTGATCACAGTGGGCTTTCACTGCACATGGGGGGCTTACAGGATCACGCTCCTTATCATCTAGCTGGGGCCTGGATTATCTGGGATGTGTTTACTACAGTCTGCTAATAGCCCCAAACTGGCTGCTCTAGCAGAGAGCTGGCCTGGCTTCTGGAACGACAGTTACCCTCAGGTCCAGTGGGGGAGCATGCCCCCGGGGCAGCAGCAGGGCTCCGGGTCCAGACAGGTGAGGGCAGGCTCTGAATTACTTCACCTGCCACCTTGGCAAAGAAGACTATCCCATGGTCCCTGCTCTGGGTCAAACAGCAGTAAGTGTGGCTTCACAATTCACATAAAGAAATGTATAGGAAACCTTTGGGGCATTAGCACTATGCCAAGTAGAAGAACAGCTGGCAAAATCCTTTAACAAAAACTTACCTGACCAAATGGAATGAGAGGGTCTGTTTGGAGCAATTTGTCTCAGGTGAGACTTCCATGTGTGTGTGGATGCCAAACCATTCTCTCTGCTTCACCAGGAAATCAGAGAATACAGGGGCACAGGTCACCAATGCCAAAGTCAGCGGTGGCCAGGACCAGGCCAGCCGACAAGGGAGGCTCCGGCACACACATGACGTGGGGGCGCCCAGGCAGACTCCCAGTCCCTCCGCCCTGGCCTGTGCTGGGGGACCTACCGGAGTGCGTCCTCAGGTGGCCCGTGAGGGCGTCCCTCCGGCGGCACGCGTAGTTGCAGAGATGGCACTTGAAGGGCTTCTCCCCAGAGTGCAGCTTGATGTGGCGCAGCAGGTTGCCTTTCTGCGTGAAGGAGGCGCCACACTGATTGCACTGGAAAGGCCGCTCTCCTGGGAGGAGGAGAGGGAGAGTCGTGAGAACAAAACTCCGCTTGGGGACGAGAGGAGGACGCGGCCAGAAAGTTGTTTCCCACGGGGCCTGGTGACTTCCACCGGCTGCAGGTTTGATAGAACATGAGGCTTTCAGACTAAACCTGCCAGCTCCTTAACGCTTCACTGGTTGGGTCAATTTGATCTGAAAATCTAATTTTTTTTCCCTAAATCAGAATGGCACATCACAATGCAAATTCAAACTCATTTAAATAAAGTGACTGCAACATTTTGTGATGAAGAGCCACTCTTCCTGATCAGCAGTTTTGGAATAAACCAATATCCAATTTTGCGTGTTGTGGCATTTGGGGGGGTTTTAATGTGGCTTTTTTCAAAGGGTCTTTAAAATATGCCACTGAAGCAGCAAAATAAAAAGGAAACTCATTAAAAATGCATTTCAGGATCACAAGTTCATTTCAGCGTTACATTCTTATATTTAAATGAAAGGCACTTCATTATAACAGTTATAATAACTTCTTTTCATTTACATTTTCCCTGTATTTTCCCTTTCAATTTCTTCTCCATTACCTGTCTGTCCCTATGCAGGCAAATCAGGAAAGAGACAGACAGAGAGTGTGTGAGGCTGAGAGAGAGAGAAAGAAGGAGAAAGATTGAATCAAATGAGAAGTTAAGAAACTGTGAAGGATGCTCACACCATCCAAGGAGAAGTCCCAAGTACCCCTGGGGCAGGACCAAGGCCAGGGCTGCAGGGAGCTTCCTGGCTGCTTGCTTTCCTCACATATCCTAAGACCTTTAAGCTATTATTGGTCTAGAGCCACAGAAGACAAGTTAAATTTTCAGGACAAATATTCTAGGAGAGGCAATTTAGTGATGTCAGGAATGCCTCCCTGCCGGAATAGCTGGTGTCCTGGGGCCAAGGCTGCCTGAGGACACACCGGAATCTCTGCTGTATGCGGCTGCCCAGCCCCTATGTTCCGGATCAAAGGGACAAGCAGGTGTCTGTGACAGAAATGCATCACTGAGTAGCCAGAGGTCTTAGAGCCTAAACCTGCGGACATTTCACTTAATTCTCACTTAGAAGAGTGATACATTGATCACGTTTAAGTAAATATGAAAGCTCTTTCAAAAACAAATCCTTTTCTTTAGAAAAAGAGCTCTATGTGACCAGTGTCTGCAGTTAAGATATCAAGGAAATATACTTCCCAGTAACAATTTTTTCTTAGAAAGAAGAATGTGTTAAAATGATATTTAACAATTTTCCCAAATGATTTACGTGATTTTGGTGAACAAGACAGCACTTAACAAAAGCAATTAGGTAGGAGTATATCTAAGTACTATTAAATCTCTATCTAGATTAACTCTGAATATTTATATTGGCACCTGGATTTCATAACATCATCATTTTTAAATGGGCAGGTATGCCACTGTAAAAACTGAAGTTAGTTTGCAATGATAAATTCAGATACAGACCAATTGGAGGCATTCTGATATTAGCCAGGACATATTCAGTATTTCCCCAAATCTATGTCTGGATAGGATTTGGCTGAGCAGAGAAAAGACTTAAAGTCAAGCAGGTGGGAGGTGATGGTAAAGCTAACTAAGCCCAACTAAATCTCTGAGTTACACACCCATACTGGGTGAGGAGATTAAATAGCTGGCAGCCAGGTAGCCCTGAGGAACAGGCAATAGAGAGATCATTTATCTATTAGCAACACTTCTGGGCCTTCATTGCCCACATGTGTGTGATAGTTCATGTTTAACTCCAAGGAGACAGAAAGAAAAAGAAGTGAAGTGGTCACTGCAGGCCCAGAGCCTGGATGGGGTGGAACAGAATATGACAGATGACCCTCAGCTGGGCATTCTGAAAAGGCAGTCAGTCAGGACAGCTTGGGCCATGGAAATGCCTATGATAAGGACACTCTTGACACAGATGTGTTGTGGTGTGACTCAGGCTAGGAGGCTCAGCCTACACTGTGTGAAGTACCCCTTCCATGCTGATGAGGTGCTAGAACTCTGTGCTTCTCCTGAGGTATGAAGGGCTGGAGGGGAACCCAGGTAGGACCCAGCAGTTGAGCCAGTGCCTTTTTTTGCAGGAGCAGTGAGTCAGTGGAGACAGAAAGGACAGATCATTAAAGTCACGTTCCCCTTCCACAGAAGAGGGCAGGAAGGAAAGACTGAAATCTGCCTTCTAATTTGATTCAACGATTCTTGTGTACTGTGCTCGACTTGGCGTTTTAATCCTGCTGGCAAGCTTTCCTGGGAATCTACTTGTCTCTGAGGGCCTATGCATGCATGAATCTGTAACACAGGGCACGGGGACTCTTGAAGAGATCAAGTGACAGCACAGAGTGTTCAACCCGAGGTAGGGTCCCTTCGGAGGTGTGAGCAGGAAAGGGAGCCTGGCCTGCCGCTGGAGGAAGATGCAGCCCATGCCGTCTGTTGGCCGATGTCAATAGCTTACTCATGTAGCTAAGTAAGATCATGTTTCTCCAAGGTTATATTTCTTTTCAGTTAATTGGGGCTGATGACCTTAATATCATCAATTCAAAGCTCTAAACCTAGTGACTATAGATCTGCCAGTCCAGGGACTCTAAAAATGTTGGAGTCCCCTTTTAAATAGCTTGATTGGGTGGAAAAGAAAGGCCTCATGGATGCCTACATCATACGGTTTCTGAAGATACATCAGAAGAAGGTGGATTAAAAAAATACACCTGCACCGCAAGAAGCGGCACTGGCCAACTGCAATTAGATTTGGGAGCAGCCTTCCAGTCCGGTCCCATGCCGTGTTTAGGAAGCTTGGCAGCTGTGCCTCTGCCTCACGGCTGGGAACAGAGCTGGGCCAGGACCACAGAGAACAGCCCTAATTCAGACACGTTTCTCCATCTTTTCTGCTTCCACCCGTGCCATTTAGAATCCCACTGCTACAGAGCGGTGGGGCTTCCCCTACACTGCATGCTTTCATGCCACGCTCCCCTCGGAGTCCCACAGTGACACTGCGGTGTTGGTGGGGAAGACGTCGCTATTGTGCTTGAGTTTAAAAAATGAATGTGAGCAGCAGAACTAGGGAGGGAAGTGGTGGTGCCTTCGAATATTTAAACAATGGTACCCATGCCACCTCGCCCAGGTGGTGACATGGGTGAGGCAAGCTTCTCCCAGGGGAGAACTCAGTTTATCAGGGAAGGAACCCAGTGCGCTGGGCCCACTCAGGGATGGCAGGTGCAAGCTTGGCTCCTTGGGGAAATGCATTAGGGTGTACTCAGGCTCCCAAATAAGGAGCCCTCCAAAATGGCATGGCCCACTGCCTACAGATGCTCTGGGCCCGCCTGCAGCACCCCCAGCTTCCTCTGGCATCTGAATCAGAGTCTGCATTTTCACAGGATCGCTGAGTGACTTGGGTGGCCTTTAAGTTTCAGAAGCATGGCTCTAGAAGTGCTTCAGAATTCTGCTCTAGAATGCAGGGTGGGCTGTGGTTAGTGTAGCACATTCTGACAGGTTCCACTCAGACCCCAGGGAGATGGAAACATTATTAGTATGTCTAGTTATTCTAGCCTGGATTGGCCAATGCATTTCTGCCTCTACTTGTGATCTCACATAGTTATGCAAGTGGACATGCAACATGAAGACAGTCCATAATCCATTATTTCAGGTATTCGTTTTCTTAAAAAATAAAAGTCAAGGCAGGAACCACACAAGCGATTGTACGTATATCCCTGTTTCTGGAATTTACTCGTGTAAGCGAAGGACTCAGCGGGTTGGTGGGTACTTGGCACTTAGCTGTGATTTGTGGGGAGAGTTGGGCTGCAAACAGCTGGTGCTACTCTGCATATTATACTTGGCAGGTTCACTCATTAAATGCAATTACTCTTTTTATCAGGGTGGACAGTCATTACATTTTGGTAATTCAGTATGCCTGAATTTGATTCATTTATCAAATATTTATTTAAGAGAATTTTCACTGTATAGTCAGGCTTAACATGAATTAGCAGAAAAGTAATTCATTTGTGTGGTGTATTCCTCCATCAGGAATGCATTAACATGGGCCCTGGCATGTTCTGTTATGTGTCTGTCACAAGGTAACCTGCCTCTCCTTTAATTTCCACTTCATTATAAAGGGGAGAGCCTCGCTGCTCTCACGCAAGCCTTACATGGGGCTGGATGTGACAGGTCTATTTCACTGGAGAATTTGAGGATGAAGGGGCACATTAGGAAAAGCAAAGTTTGCTTAATTATAGAAGTTAAATTTTTATTGTAAATGAATGTTTATTGAAATTAACATATTTTATGGTTTTCCAGATGTATTACAAATGGAAGACGTCACTTGGGAAACTGCCTTGATTCAAACATAAAAATTACTACTCCACCAAGATTGGTGCTCCTGGCAACCCAGCTTTTTTGCTCAATGCATTTTCTGAATTCTTGCTTGATTTTTGATAATCATCTTTTTTGCCCCATGGAAGACTCGCACGAGGCTGTGGTTTTCAAGTCTGCCTACTCTCCTGAGATAACATAAAATCTGCTATGCCTCCAAAGTATGCTTTTCATCTGTTGGTTCTCTCCTCCTGTGGAGTGGAGGGCAGATCCTGGCTTTAGGAGGACCTACCCATGCCACTGCCTGCACCCTGCAGCCCTGACTCAGGAGTTCTATGTTTCGTGTTCAAACGTCCAGCGACCACTGGAGTTGGTGAATCTATTGTGTATCACCCACCTCTAGAGCAGAAGAGTAAAGTTTCTGTTGAATTCAAAAGACACCTCATGCATACAGCTAAGTTAGATGTGGCCCCTTAATACTGCAATGACTCTCTAGTGCCATTAGTGGGTGAGAAAGTCTGTGACTGGTCAGTTGCCATGTCCGAGAACAGGGGGAGGCCAGAACTGAGCCTCTGTGCCCCACCCACTAGGGAGAGCATCTCATGAGCTGGGGCCCGGCCAGATGCTAGACTACCCTCTTTCCTTCATTTCGGACACAGGATGCTATACTTCCAAAGCCTCCAACAGACAGGGGTTTGGGGATAAAGTCCACGGCAATTTGAGACAAAGTGGCAATCAAATCGTTCAGAGCTTCACCTGCTGGGGGGCAGCGGTCACCTGAAACCTGACCTGCCCTCTTTCTGAAAGACTACATCTTGCTGCCATTCCATCATTCGCTAGCGTTCCTAAAAATCAAGCCCTGCTGATTTGAATTTTACAAAATGCCTGTTTTACTCATAGTTTCTGTGAAAAATGTGAGGAGTAAACTTTGGCATCTCGATCTCTGTCCTGTTTTCTCCTTCTGACATGACCTGCACAGGTAGCTGCCTCACCTTCCTTTCTGCTATTGCTTTAATTGATAGGGTTGAATCGGTGCATGTTTGGAAATCCTTCCCTGCGTTCCAGAGTAAGACCTCCATGCCTCCTCTGACTTGGAGCCACCATGGCATTGCCAGTCCACCTGAAACGGGGTCAGAGCACTGGGCCGAGACAGGGCAGAGTGTTTTCCGCCCATGGCACGCACGGGCCTCTCCACGCTACCACCGGGGGACCACGCCAGGCCTTACCAGTGTGGCTTCTCTTGTGGACCATGAGCACATTGGGGCCGATGCAAATGATCCCACAGACATCACACTTTAGTTTGCCGTTAGGAAGTCGAACGCCTCCAGCTCCTGACAGAGCTTTGTTGCCTTGGCCACTGTGGGAGCCATTCATTTTCTCTCCTGAGGCATCAAGCATTCGTAAATCCTCCGCACATTCTTCCCCATTCATTTCACAGGCACGCCCATTCTCTTCATCACTCTGAGTCTCTACTTTAACATTACTGGCTGAAAGAAACAATACAGGGTGCCACTCAGTGTCATCGCAAAAAAACAAAACAAAACAACACAGCAGCAAAAAGACAGCCAAATAGAAGCAGAGAAGGTTCTTAACTTATCCCCGGGACAGGAACCCTGAGCTGCAGCCATATTCAATGTGCATGCTCAGAGGACATGCAAGAGGAAGCATGCTGGGTTTGGGGACCACTTGTCTGCTCTCCCTGTAGGTCTGAATGGCAATGTTTGAAAATGCATCAAGAAGCGAATTCTAAACTCTCACTTTAGAGTAGGGATCCCTAAGCTGAATAAGGTCACTGGATTCACAGTAACAGCCTTGTGGCATCTCAGGAGTGACTGGAGGCCAAATCCTGAACCCTGTTCACCAAATGAAAGCCTCACACCAGAAGGTGGTCCATGATCCCATCCACTAACTCCCAAGGGTGTGTGACCTTGTTTGACAAAATCCCAAGTAACTGGCTATCAAGCGTGAAAAATGTGTTCCACATACAATGTTGCTTTTCTGTGTGTCACGTGTTAAACTCTGGGACAAAATTCAGCAAAACCCATGCTCAGAATTCTGACCACAGATTCCCGCCCGAGGTTTCCTGAAAGGTTTTCATTTGTGTCTTTGATGCATGACATTCTAACTCCTTTGGATTCATAGTAATAATGAAACGTGTGTCCTAAAGCAGAGCTGGGATTAATCCTTAGATCTCTTCCTGTTGCTAAAGGGGTGGACTGGGATCATCTGCAAACATATGGAGACTTGGTTTCAAAGAGAAAGATCCTTGCACATGTGGGGGAGAGAGCTAGCATTAATGAACACAATAACCACAATTTACTCTGCATTATCCGTCAAGGCACATTTAGGGTAATCATTTATATTATTTACATATTTTTTTTGATAAAGAAAATAAGAGACACTCTTTCGGCAATTCTTCAGAAACGTTGACCAATGATGAGCTGATGACTCCAACATTGAAAAAAGGAGGATAAACTGCAGGTTTGCTGACATCTCCCATTTCTGCCATGGTCTACACAGATTGGTTATAGTAGTGGGTACATTCTGCTGAGTATAATGGTCAGTGAGACAGTCAATCACATCGACAAAAGCTTTGATCTAAGTCTTGAACCAGTGGTTCTCTGAGTTTGGTCCTTGGACCAGCAGCTTCAGCATCCCCCAAGAACTTGTTAGTGAAACAGATTCTCAGGTCTGCCCTGGGCCCACTGCACTGGAAGCTCTGGGTGCATCCAGAACTCTGTTTTCATGAGCCCTCCAGGGGGTTCTGATGGACACTCAAGTTTGAACAACTGTTTTAAATAATCATCTTAGATAGTAACTCTCAAAGTTTAGTTTATTCAGTGAATTCTTCGTGATTTGGAAGGCTAAAGCCCAGGCTCTGAAATCAAAATTCCTGCTTTGGAATCTTGGATCCACTCTTAATAAGCTTCAAAGTCTTAGGCAAGTCATGTAACTTCTCTGTGCCTTGATTCCCTCACATGTAACTGGGAGCTATCAGCACTGGCCTACCTGAGGCATTGTGAGGATTCAGTGGGCATACAGCTGAGAAGCTAGCTTAGGACAGTGACCAGAAGTGCTGCCCCAGTGGAGCCATGCCAGGGCAGGGGCCCCCCACCTCACCCAGGAATATCCTTGGCACACCACTGTAACTGCTCTGTAGTGTTGAACCCTCAGAGCACTGTGCTAAGGGACAAGTACACTTAAGATCTTATTTTACAGCTAAAGAGGCTCAGGTACAGAGAGGTTGAACATCTTGCCTAATGTCACACAGCTAACAAGTGGCTGAGCTGGGAGGTACTGCAGGAAGCCTGACTCTGGCACCCACATTCCTAACTGCTATAATGCCAAAGTTTTCCCATTAGCCCTTTGGAGGAAAGACTTACAAAGAACTGACTGGAACAAATCAGCTGGGACATGGGCCACAGCCCTCACTGTGGACCTTGGCATCCCAGAAGTATGGGAGTGTCTCTTTCCTTCAGAACCCAGCATTACCCTAAGTCTGTCCTGAGAAATCCAGTGAGGAGTCTCCAAACACATTCCCTGCAAGATTCCAAAGACTGGGACTCAGAAGCTCGTGCGTGCCAGCAGCCTCCTGCTGATGTCTCCCAGCTGCTACAGCTAAGAGAACAGTGCCCACTGACATGGTGAATTCACGAGCCAGATAGGCCAGGAAGGTGGGTTCTGCATGGAGATGATCCAGAAACATGGCAATAAAGCTTTGAAGGCCACTGGACTCTTTAACCTCGGATTATGTTTTATACTATTTTTAATCACTGAGGCTTTTTAAATGAGATTGAGGCCTCCCAGAACAGAGTGGAGCAAATTATTGTTGGTGTGGCAAGTTCTTCAGCCCCTGGGGTGGGCACACAGGCTCTAGCACAGGGGGTAGGCGTGGGCACCTGTGGCTGGAAGAGGGACACTGCCCAGATGAACAAGAACTGGGGTGATGGCCCAAGCATGCTCCTTCACTCGGCTTTGCCCCATACGCTCACAACAACCCGCTGAAGAGAGCGGACTCTCGCTTTCCCCAAAGTACACACCAGTGTATGGCGCATTAGCACTTGCCAGCAACTCTCTCTTGTTCTACATCACTATGAACGACAGGTGGCTGTGTGGGCCTTCCTGGTGGGAGGCAGAAAAGCAGGGAAGCCTGGGGGGGATGCCTGGAGGTCTGTGGCATCAAGACCACACACTGGGCTACAGCAGGCTACTCACAGAGGAGATGAAGCTGTGCCAGGAAGGGATGAGGGCTGCACGAGTGGACTGCATGGCAGGGATGTCGCCTTAAATGCCACGGAAGCGCTCAGGCAGAAGACTTGATGCCAGTCGCTAATTTGACTAGTGGTTGTCGAAAGCAGGACTTTGTCCTTACCATGCAATGTGACATTTTCTTTGAGAACTGTAACAAAACCAAAAAAGCAGGAAGCTCAAAAGGCACCAGAGCTGCTTATTAATCATCCTGAGATTACTGTGGATCCCCAGGCACAGTTTCAGCAGATATGCTCACTGTCAGAAGAGGGAAGGCTCAAAGTATATAATTCAGGATGCTGTGATGTTCTAGGTTTCTGAAAAAATGTAGTTGGATGATCCCTGCAGGCCACTTGGCAAGGTCAAGCACGCATAAGTAATGGGAAGCTGATGGAGGGCTCCATATACACCAATGCCACAAATGTTCTGAAATAGGACAAAGCAGATGCAGTGTGTTTCCAAGCTGGCAGCTTGCTAGCACCCTGGGGACAATTCTAGGCCACATGACAACAGGAAAGGTCCTTGGGGACTAAGAGGAGGAAAGGATGACCACCAGGGTCAGGAGCATAGGTGAGCAAAGTGGGCTGCACTGCCAGCTATGGGACACACCAGATTCAAGCACGTGCAAATTTTCTCCAAGATTGGGTGAAAAGTCCTCGTGTCCCTGCAGACAAATGCAAGCTGGGTCCTGGCTGCAGAGATTGAGAGAATTCTGTCCACCTGAGGATGGTGTCCATGAAAACGGGGTCTCCATGTGGCCAGGAGGAGAATATGGGCAACAGGCTTATTATTTGCCTAAGACAGAAACCAGGGAATGAGCCTATCTGAGTAAGTAAACACAGATCAGGTCTTCTTTCACACTGCAATCTAATAGACATACATGTAAAGTCCACCTAAGGTAAAATACACATTTTGAAAACACAAGCTTGGGAAGGGGGTGTCTTGGTTTCACTTATCTAAGTATGATAAAGGCTTCTGGGGTTTTAGCAGGTGGGAGGCTCAATTGGGAACATGGATAGATAAAAGAAACACAGAGGCTGCACCCTGGGGTCCCTTGCATTTGGTGAAATCTGGAGTCCCCTGCACTGGCTGCATGCCTGCTTTAAAAAGGCAAGCACAGCCCGAAGTGGTCAGAGGAAGGAGGTCAGTGGGGCTGACAGTAATTCCTATGGGGACATGGATGGGGCTCTGCTCAGAGGAGCAACACTCAAGCGTGGAGAGGCTGGGCAGGGGTGCAGGTGCCACCCCAGGTCCCTTGGGCAATTGGGGACACTTCCTCCTGAGCCAAGAGAAGGCACAGGGGAGAGGCCATTGAGGGCTAAGTTTCCTCCAGGAGGAGCAGCAGAGAGGCGCCTGGCTGGCAGCTCCGTACGCAGGCCCCCCTCACCGCTGTGTCTGCCCTGCTAGGTGACATGTGAGTGAAGCTTGCAGAAGTCAAGGGCACCAGCGGTTGCTTCACCTAGCAAAGTTGGGGACTGGATGATGGGCGTGGACTTAGCCTGTTTGTCTTTGGGAAGTTTCATATTCAAATACCTTGGAGCCTACCAAAGGGATACATGAGACGCCTACTCTATTCTCTCGAGAATGCAGCAGAATGAGTTTTTGTTTCCCTGATAACTGGCCCTCCTGGGGGATACAGCCTCTGTTAGTCAGTCATGAAATAGTGGGGACCCCTAGGATGCATGTGCTGTACTCTGGTCACCCCATAGATGATGTCTCTGCTGACCAGGGCTCACATCTGCTGGCCCGACCATTCTTGGACTTCCTAAAGCACCCGCTACATCTCCCTAGGCCGGAACTACCAAGTTGCGGTAGTATTTCTATGAAATGTTATATATATACTCTCTCTGAATAAGAGGATTATACTTATAAATATTTTGTAACTCCATTCCCTGCCACTTAGGAAAATGTCGAACTCAGTAAGGCACCGAGTTGAACTCATTAAATATAGAACTTGGAGTGGAGACTGGCATATTTCTTCACCTGGGAACACTGGCTCAGGCTTGATCCTGCCGCTCTCTCATTGCTTACCCAGAGCTAATGGACAGGGGCCCAATTTTATTATTTAGCAAGCGTGGCTTATAGTAAGAAGTCATGTCTAGAAACTCAGAGTCAAAAGCTATACTCTTTCCCAGATGCTATTTAAAATTAGGAAAAATTAAAATCATAGCATCCCATATTTTAGAGGCTTTCTATGTTATTAGTAACACAACAGTCCTAAAGAGAGACCCCCAGGCTCCCGAACATAAGGTGGACTTTAGCAAATAGACAAGCTCAGCATGGAAGAATCTGGAGATTCAGGGAACTCAGGGTCAATGCAGCCAAGTAGCCTCACCTAATGCCAAGCACTGTATGTGCTCATGAATGATTAAAACATTTTAATGCATAGGTACAATGTTCACTGGCAGGCCTCGCCTTACAAATGGGTTATATTTCCTCTTCATTTTCTTTTCCCTTTTAGAATGTGTCTTTTTATTTACGGGTAAGGTAAATGTCTGGTATACAAGACTGCATTTTTCCATTGAAAAGATATTCTGAAAAATTCACTAGGAGTTTAGGACATGTGAGCTTGAAATGCTCAATCTTTTAAATGAAGAAATGGGAGACAGAAATATTCCTGAAACTGGTGACAAGCAAGTAAAAACCAAGTTGGATGAACATATTTAAGATGTATCTTGAGTATACAGGGTAATTAAATGAAAATTTGAAATGAAGAGGAGATATGTAGTGCTGCCTCTAAGAGATTTATAAAAATTTTAAAGTATTTTTAAGGTTAATGAAGCCATTTATTATAACATATATCATTTAAAATGTAGGGTTTTCTTTTTCTTGTCAAGATGCATGATTAGAAATATTTGTATCTTTATTTGATATTTTAGGCCTTTAGATGGAATGAAGTCAGGGAGAAAGAAAAATGGAAGAGTGTGCAAAAGGAATGGGCCAAAAGCATGTTTACATTTTCCTTGCTGAGTTTGTGATATGGTTTGAGAGCAATAGTAAGAGTTTAAAAAAAAACATTAATTTTTAAAAAAAGATATTATTGCTGGGATAGAGAAGGCAGAGGGGGTCAAACAGGTTGTTCTTAATTTTCAAGAAGATAAAAAAAAAAAGACAAGGGGATCGGAGTGAGGAGAACAATTCTGCCCCATGACCACTAGGTGGGGATGTTGGCCTAGAACAGTTGGGTTGCTGTTTGTGTGGGGAGTCCTGAAGATCAAAAGCCCTGAGGGCAGGGGAGGAGGAGAACATAATTTGGGTACATGAGAGGGGCTGGGAAGCAAGAGAGAGACAGGTACTAACAACTTGTGAACCCATTTGTATAAATACAGAGACAGGCACTGTATCAAAACATATAGCATCTATGAAATCTACAAGTCATATATCTATATGCAGAATTATTTTTTTACATACCAAAGTCTTCCCCAAAGGATCTGCTTCAACATTACAATATACTTGAGCCTAAACCCTCAGATTTAATGAAAACATGTCTTAGAATGTATATCTTCCTCTTAAGTGCATTTGACTTTTCAACATTTCAACAGTGTGATTGTTCATCTCAAAAGTAATATAATTTCTCTGTCCTGGTACATTAAAATTTTATGGAATATAAGCACACATATACATATACATATATATATACACACACACATAAACATCTATATATATATATATATACACATATATAACACAGAAATAAATATCAAACTATTGCTTTAAAGATGAATCAAAGGAACACTAATAAGAAAAAGATCTCTGTGACTTTTACATACTGGGACAGTCAGTCTCAGTGGTGAGAAAGGAGTTTGCGCAGATTGATACTGTTAAATCCTGTAGATACCAAAGAGGTTTAAGTAACTGGGATGTCAGAAACCTATCTGTACCTGTTGCTAACACCTTTTAGATTAGAGCCTGTATCAATAATTGTTACAGTATAAACATGCATGCTTTGTTTTCTGATTTCCCATTATAATGTTACAGAATTTACTAATACAGGCTTTGAAGACTTAAGTCCTAAGGAGTGAGCAACTTGTATCACTTTAAATATTCAGCTAGATGTACATTTTAAAAAAGTATTCTCCATTCCTTAAAATACTCCTTCAAGATACTGCCCAGATATATTTATCACTTATCATGTCTCAATACCTAAAAATGAAAAAGGAAATTGACTTTCGGTTTAACAGCTCAGATCAGGAATGTCCCGCATGTGAGAAGCCCTAAGTGGGCTTGCTGAGCAGCGAGGGCCCCATGGACTAATGGCCTTGAAGGCCAGAGACTTTGGTCCTCTCAGTTCTGAAATCAATACTTCAGAGAGCAACAGAAAGAGAGTATGCACGTTCCTTCAGTCCTACGAAGTGCGAATAATTATCTTGAAAACATGCTGGGTTGTTTAATGATGACAGAAAGTCTGGCCATTCTATCATCATATGCAATAAAAAGGAGGTAGTCACAACATTAATAACAAAACTATTTAAACAGCATAAGTAGAGTTACAATTCCACTAACACTATTGTTACTTCTACCCTTAGTGTTACTTCACTGCCACCACAAAATGCATGCCCCAGAGCACATCTTTCAATAATCCAAAACATTACATATGTACTGGATCACATAAGTGATGTTTCTGATGGTAGATGTTCAATGAACAGAATGGTCAATATTTTGAGAACGAAGGAAGGTGATGAAGAAACATGCATCCACAATATTCACACTATGGAAACAGTATGGAATGAACACATGGTTCTGTTTTCTAAAAGTAAAGCTTATACTTACGAGAGAAAGATTTGGGAATTATTGCATGGAAATCCCTAAAGCCATCAGCCCCATATGTAACTGCAATAAAGAAGGCAAAGAGAAAGCTGAGTTTGTGATATGGTTTGAGAGATATAGTAAGAGTTTAAAAGAAAGCATTAATTTTTAAAAAGAAGGTATTATTGCTCAAAACCATTACTTAGTTAAAATGGAAGAGTAACAGATGTTAAAGCAGGACTGACATCCTCAGAGGGCTGAGCTCACAGCATTATATCCTGCATAGCATTTCAGAGCCTCTTCTGGTGTGTTCACTGTCATAGAAACATTCTAGAAGTATAAGAAACCTCTTAGGCAGAATTGGTACACAGATCCAAGATCCAAGCCTCAGAGTGGGGCTTCTCCCGGGAGATTGTGTATCTTCACAACAGCAGCGTGTTTCTCACTGGGCTGAAGACAGAGCAAATGTTCCTCATTCAACATTTGATGCGTTCTTAGAAAGTGTTCATAGAAACTTGGATAATGTTCACACAGCATGTTGAGTGGAGAAAAATTAGTGTTTCCCCGAGCTCAGGAAGAGCCACCAGTTTTCTGTGGGAATGCCTTATCAGCTGCTTTCTTAAGTGCTATCACTGCCTCAAATCTTCAAGTTCTTGTTCTGTTTTATAGGTACTCCCCAGTGTGTACTTATGTCTGAAAACTTAGTAGATATTGCATATGCACACATGTGTACACACACACACACAGTGTTCTCTCCAGTAACTGTCAGATTTGCACAGTATAGCTGCTAAATTAAACCTGTTGAATGGACCACTGAATTAGCAGAGCAAAGACTATGGTGACCTGCAGGAAACAGACTTACTGAACTTTGCTGAAACCAGTGTCTTCCAAACTTACCTGACCACACATTCTCCCTTTTTCCATGAAGAATTTATTAAATATATTGGGATAATGGACAGACATAGTTTGGGAAACACTTCCAAAGTTGTTTCTTGAAGTGACAAACCCTCTGTCTGCTTCTGTTTATACGTTCCTTGATCACCCAGATCTAACAGAGAAAGCTTCTACCTGAGCCCTGTCTCACAGGGCTGTCCCTGGCAGGGCTGTGGGTGTACCTGTGCCGGATGGCCTGCAGATGGTCAGCAATGCAAAGCCGCTTTTACAGGGGCCTTTGCATTCTGTCTCCTGCACTGAGCTCTAACCCTTCATACCAGCTTCTCAAAACTCACTCACTCTGTGCATGGGCACACAACCAGCTCACACAATGGGAGAAGAGGCAAAGATGTTTTAAAGGGTAAGGATTACCTTTTTAAAAATGGGGACAATACATGACAATATAAAATCCTCTGATGAAATGGGAGAACTTCCATGATTCCCTGAGATGGGAAAGTCCGCTTTTGGATGGGTCCCTTCAGCTCACAGGCCATGGCTGGTGTGTGTGTGAGCATGCATATAGCAGTGGAGGTATGCATGTTCACCTGTACACTGACAATAAATGAGCTAGAGATCAGAATGGAGCAGTTTATCTAAAAAGTGCCCCCCATAAGAAAATGTAGATTTGCACAGGTCTTGAGTAACCCATGTGTAACCCTTGAAATACGCAATTTCGTCCAATACCTTCCATTTCACCCACTGCCATATAGTATAGATAATGTTACAATACATTGTAAGATAAATGCAGATCATTTTTCAATAGAATCAGTTCTTTGCCTAGGATAATCCAAATTAACTTTAAAATGTTCGTCTTTAATATTTGATTCTCTAAGAATCACAGAAAGTTTAAAATACTAAATGTAACAGTGGCTATGGAGTTGTTCTACTTCCCCACAGGAAAGCTGAGCTGGTTCGTGTGCCATGCCACACAAACTCACGTACATACCAGCTTCTGACTTCAGAGGAAGCAGAGTATGTTGTTCTGTATGGACAGGTGGCTATGCACAGCAGGAAAACAAGAATTTGCCCTGCCCTGCTCTGTTCTGCTCTGCTTTATGCTTCTGTACCATGTCCAGTATTTTGTGGAAGGTGTTCACTGGGATGTTTGTAAATGCAGGTACACGAAACACTGCACAAACTGCCTGTCATCCCCATTGTGGTACTGTGAGGCAAGAAGTGTCACCAGTTTACCAGCGAGAGACAGAGCTCAAAGAAGTCCTGGAAGTCCTGCTCTTGGTGGTTAGCAGGTAAGGATGCACACCTGAGACCACACCTCATTACCACCTGACTTTTTGGGGTTCTAAACACACCTGCTCCTCATGCAGGGCCTTTGGAAGCTGAGTTTCTTTTACAGGGCTCAGGCAGTGGTGGAAAGCATGTAAATCACTTACCTGGGCACGCATGTGTACACTCAGGTGTGCATGTACACACACTGACCCACATACGGGAGTCACAATTCATTGACCAAGAGTCCCTTGTACAGTGAAGTGATTACCCACCAGTGATTTGGAAAGCGGGGCCCCCTGTTCTGCCTCTGCTGGCCATCAGCCCCTGTGAATCCTGGCCCTCTTCACGTGCAGGCAGTAAGAATGCAGCGTGGTCCGGCGAGTCCCTTGCTGTCTCTGAGCTGCTGGCCCCAGCATTGTGCTGTCTGATGGTATTCCCCCATTTCTGGTGAGCTTTAAAATCAGCTGCAAAACCCTTCTTCTCACTCACTTGGGGAGATACAGTACAGGTGCAAGCCTGTTGTGTCCCTTCTCCTGTGAAGCAGACCTTCTCCTTAGTCCTAGACGTGGCCACCATGGCAGCAGGGAAGTGCTTAGCCCATGATCAGCTCTCAGCCTTGTGTCCATTTCTCTGGCAAATTCCACCCCAAATTTTAGGGCATTGTTTTATAAAAGAGAGCAGGTAGTAAAAGATTCAATGCATCTTGGTTTCTAAATTTCATGAAATACCTTCTAATCAAGAGCAAATCTAATTCATTTGGTAGGAATTTTTATTCCCCATCACTAACATTTTCATGCAAAAGGCTGTTAATGCCTCAGATTCTCAATTCTATTCAGATTGTCAGATTGGTGAACATTTGGAATAAGGATTAAATGTCCAAAAACCACACTTCTTAGTTTCCATTCAGTTGTGTGGATGAACTTCTTGGCTGCTGTCACCTTCCAGAAAAATTCAAACACACAAGCTTTTCAGAACAGGAGGGGGGAAGTCTGTTCCACTTTCAAGTCAAAGAAGGAGTGGCAATTTTCTGGGAAGAGTAAACACATTTAGCTGTGTACTTAGGAGAGTGTAGAAATATGCTGGAGTTTGGCATGTCCATTCTTTAAGTCTTATTAACATGTTAGGCATGGCCAGACATTGTCTCTCATTAACTTGTGTAAGTTTAGTTTGCTGTGATCTTTACAAGTCCTACATTTCTAGTCAGAGGGTCCCCATCTGGGATGGTGAAGAAAGGCAAAGTAGAGGACCAGGTACCACCTGGAGCTGAATCACCAAGGCCACGCTCCTGCTAGAGGCCCACTGTGCCCTGAATAGGCACCAAATCCAGCTTCCCTTGGGCTTCGTCCCCTCCTGGACAGTTGTGGGGTGGGTATTTGTGCTTACACCAGCCTCTAAGCTAGGGAGCCCTGTGTTTTATCAGGGGTAGAGAATGCTAGCTAACTTCTCTGGACAGCTCACTCTGGGAAGGTGTCATTCTGGCCTTACAGAAGAGGAAATGAAAATACAGACAAGTCTGAAGTCTGACCCACAGACACAGAGCCAAGGAGCGTAGGTGTGAAGTGTCACTAAACTGAGTCACCCCTCAGCGGCTCCTTCCACTACATGCCCAGCTTCCCACTCTTCCTCCTTTCCAGATTTCAAGGGACCTAGTGTGCATGTTACGGTGTACCCTGCATGGCCCCGGTATAATGTTATGCACCAATGGCACAGCATGCTTGTCAAGGAAGGCAAACGGAGATATGCCAGGCCTCCTGACCTGGGCACTTCCCTGGGCTCAGTCACCGCCCAGCTGCCCTGTCTTCCCTCCATGTGCAAACGGGCACACCAGATCCAAACTTGGGGTCTCTCTCCAGACTGAGCTGTCCTTCCTCCACTGCACACACGCCAGGGGTGCTCTTACCTGGATTCTGTACGTTCTAATGTGTGTGGCCTCCCACTGCCAATTTCTCTCTGAGTTCCTTCAAGGGTTCTCTCTTACTGTCTTCTGAGAACACTGCGCCCCAGCATGTCCACAAGGCCACTGCCTCACCCAGCCAGGGCTGCCTCAGGTCACCCCACATCCTGCCAGCACTTCCTGTCCACTGCCCGGCACTGGTCTGCATCCTGTGGACCTTGCTTTCTGGCTCCCCTTCGATCCTACCCATTGCCCTAAGAGCAGCATCTCAAGCCCGCCTCTATCAGGTCACATCTATGTCCCAAGTTTCCGTTGGTCTGCACTGCTACAGTGTAACAAAAATCCCAAGTCCTGTGTCAACGTCCCACTAAGAGTGGTCAGCAAAGCAATGACTGCCACCAGGTAATCCTATTCTGATAATCAAATAGACGAACCTTTTGGAAAATTCATACAAGACCAAACCCACCACCTACACCTCACTTGTCAATCCTTGCTGTTTTCATTTAGCTGTCCATGGAACTATGTTCTAACTGCACCTCAGCCACAGTGTGAATCCATCCACTCTCCTGGCCCCAGCTTGGTGTGTCCTGTGCAGCTGTTCAGGTCCAGCTGTCCAGCTCCCCAAGCCGAGCTAGCAATGCTCCCCCACCCTCCACAGGGCTGTAGCCCCCATGGGCTCTGTCTCTAGGCTATTAGAGCCCTTGTCTCCTGCACTGCAGAACCTCAGAACATGTGCCCAGTTCCAGGTTGGATGAGGTCTTGAGCCTAATTCTGTGCAAATATTGTGCACCCCTGCTCCCTACTTCCTTGCCTGCTGTGTGTCACCTAGAAGATGCAAGGTGCTCACTTCAGCATGGTTGAGCCAGTAACTTACTGCTTACTGCTCTCTGAAGGCACCCATCATATCTGGACATTTTCAGAAATCCGTTTACCTTAAATGAGAAGTTGCAAAGTATGTGGCAGAAAGCACTTTATTGTCTACCTTGGTTTTGAGTGAGGTTCCAAGGAAACTCGGTGCAAATGAGTCACA